GCTCCACATACACTTCTTCTTCTAATACACCATTCAGAAATGCGGATTTCACATCAAGCTGATAAACATATAATTCTTTCTGTGCAGCTATGGCTAACAATGTCCTAATGGTTTCAATACGAGCTACTGGAGCAAATGTTTACATTGAAATCAACTCCGGATTTTTGAGCATATCCTTTGACAACAAGCCTTGCTTTGTGTTTTTGAATATTTCCGTCTTGGTCTAGTTTTGTTTTATAAACCCATTTTAGACCAATAATATCTTTACCTTCAGGGTAATCAACAAGCTCCCATGTCTTGTTTTTCTCAATCATAGCAATTTCTTCATCCATTGCTTTTATCCAAACATCGTCATTTGATGCTTCTTTATAGCTAGAAGGCTCACTTGCAAATAAAGCTAATGTTTCCGTGTCATTTGCTTTAGATAAATAGCACTCGTAATCATCCAAATAAGAAGGCCTTTTTCTAATTCTTCCTGGTTGATTTTAAAGTGGAGAAGATGAGGTTTCTTGTGTTTGTGTATTTGACACATTATTAGGAGATCTATGCGGACTGTTTGCTTCATTATTTATTGTTGTTGGAGTTGGGTTACGAGAATTTATAGCTTCTTCTTGCACAGGAAAATGAACTATTTCATCATCCCATTTCCATTTTGCCGATTCTTCAAATATAACGTCTCTAGAGACTATTAGCTTCTTAGCTTGTGGGTCTAAGAGACGATAGCCTTTTGATTCATCACTATATCCCACAAAAAGATACTTTCTCCCTTTGGGATCGAACTTGTCTTTACCTTGATCTTTGTTTAAGGCATATGCAATACATCCAAAAACTTTTAAATGACTAACAACCGGTTTTCTACCATTCCAAGCTTCATAAGGAGTCTTGTTACTAACTGCTTTAGTTGGTGAACGGTTGAGTATGTAAATAGCTGTATTTACAGCTTCAGCCCATAATGTTTTAGGAAGAGTCTTTTCTTCCATCATGCTTCTTGCCATTTCTACAATTGTGCGATTCTTTCTCTCTGCTACACCATTCTGCTGAGGTGTTCGTGAGAATGTCAATTGTCTTTTTATTCCTTCATTTCTACAATGCTCCATAAAAGGGTTATATATAAATTCACCCCCTCTATCAGTTCTCAATGTCTTTATCATATAACCACTTTGTCTTTCAACTAATGCTTTAAATTGGAGAAATACATTGAAAGCATTTGACTTTTGATCAATAAAATATATCCACATCATACGAGTGTAATCATCGACAAATAATAGAAAATACCTCTTATTCTGTAGAGAAGGATTTCTTGTGGGGCCAAATATATCTGCATGTACTAATTCAAGAGGAGCTTTAGCTCTCCATGAAGTTTTTGGGAATGGAAGATGATGCATTTTTCCATATATACATCCTTCACAAACTTGAATATTTCTATCAATGTGTGGTAATCCCACGACCATGTCTTTTTGTTCCAATAATTGTAATCCTTTTTGGTTCAAGTGTCCATATCGTAAGTGCCATAGATACGATTCATCCATAACATTTGCTTGCAATGCCAGCTTCTTTTGTGGCATATGAAGCGGGAAAACTTTATTATCAGCCATTTGTACTTTCGCCAATATAGTACCAGATTTTTTGTCCGTAACAATGCATTCCCCATTGTCAAAATTTTCTGAATATCCTCGTTGAACAAGTTGCCCAACACTTAGGAGATTATGTGTCAAATTAGGCACATAAAGAACATCATGTATGTATTTTGTGTTATTTGCTTTGCTGTTAACAACAATGACTCCTCGTCCTTCGACGTTTGCCTTTTTTCCATCACCTAAGGTGACTTGATTTGCTACACCCATATCTAACTTGATGAACATGTCCTTATTTCCTGTCATGTGGTTGCTACAACCACTATCGAGAAACCATAAATTGCTAGACTTATTTTGTGCATCCATGCACGTAAGAAATAATTGTTCACCTTCAGCGTTAGCGGTGAAATTCGCTTCATTTGTATTATTTCCATTTTGATGCCAACAATCTTTTTGAGAATGATTTGAATTACGACATCTCTTACATTTAAAATAACATTCAGATGATTGATGGTTAGACTTACCACAAATACGACAAGAATTATTTGACCTTTGTTGATAATTTTGATATTGTCCGCGACCTCTTCCTCTACTTTGTCCTCGGCCACGGCTAAAATTTTGGGTACCACGGCCTCTACCATATTGATGTCCTCTTTGGTTTCCCCCTCTTTTCTCTGACTCTCCTTGATATTGTTTGTTTGATATGTTAAGTTGGGATTGAAACGCTTGATCTACAAGTTGATCGGTATTTGCATTTCTTTTCAATTTTTGATCATGTGATTCCAAAGATCCCATCAACTCATGCATTGTGAGAGTTGACAAGTCCTTAGACTCTTCTATTATAAATGTGGCAGAATTATATTTTTATGTCATACTTCTTAATACTTTTCGAACAACTCTTTTTTCTTCTAATGTATCACCGAGACTTCTTATTTGATTAACTATTTCCGTGACTCGTGAAAAATAAACTTGGATATTTTTTGTCTTTTGCATTTCCAGGTTATCAAAATCTCTCCATAGATTTTGTAATCTAACAGCAACAACTTTTTCATTTCCTAGAAATCCTTGTTTTAATGTATCCCAAGCTTCTTTGGATTTTTTCAATCCATATAAGCGGGGAAATATAGTTTTACTCATGGCTGCATGAATATATCGTAAAGCAAGTGCATCTTTTTTCTTGTTTTCCTTGTGTAGTTTTTGTTGTGCTTCATTAGGATTTTCTGGAAGGTCTTCATAGCCTCCTTCCACGAGCTCCCATAAATATTGGGATATAAAGAATGTTTGCATTTGACTACTCCAATAGTCATAATGTTCTCCATCAAAGATAGGAAGTGTCGGTTGGGAATAAGAGAAAAATGGTGTTGATGTACTGGAAGCCATGATATAATTATTCCGGCTCTGATACCAAATTTGTTGGAGACAGCGGAAGTATAATGGGTGATTGGATCAGATTAATAAGTAATATTTATAAACTATATGAGAAACGAGTAGAGCTGCCACACCTACTTATATTTATTCTTGAAAATGAAATAATACCGAAGAATATGTTTTCTTTTATTATATTCTCTTATATTGAAAATGATATCAATTACAGTTTATATAGGAAAAACTCATCCTAAATAAATAGTGATAGAAAATTTAGGAGCATTATATGCTTTACATTTTATTTAGGTTTTACTATTTTATTATTAGTTTTTCTTAATTTTACTTATCTTAATATAGTTTATACATTGCACAATTAACTTTTATCTCACATTCTCTTCATTGGAAGTTCTACCCTTTATAATTAATCCAAAAGATTACAGGAAAGATTTTGAGATGGATACTTTTACTAGTAAATCACGTAATATTTTACTACCTATATTATTTTTTAAAAAAACACTAAAAAGTGGTAAGGACCATAACATATCTCAATAATCCTTACAATTTTTTGTTCAGTATTAGTGCAAGGAGTGCAAGGGGTCTTCACCCCAAATAATCTCATCTGACAAGATTCAAAACTTAAATCTTCATAAGCAGAATTTTACTCAGTATTCTATCATTCATTTGGGGACTGGGGTGGTTGTGGTACATGATTACATATTATGCATCAATGAGTAGTGTACAATACACCAAACAGTCTTCGAGATTACCCAGTCCATGTATTTCCTCCGTTCTTTTAATATATTTTTTTTATTTTTTTTTTTATTTTTTATTTTTTTTTTTTTTTTTTTTTTAATGACACACTAGCTTTCTTTGCACTTTTACACATTAGTTTTGACTGTTACTCATAATTTAATTTGTTTTACTCATACAAAAAATTATTGTTATTATAAAATATGTTGTTATTAGATCAGTCAAAGATGTATGTTGTATCTTCATAATATCAAATTATAATCTATTTTTAACATAAATTAATGGTCGAACAAATTTACCGACATGCACTTGTAGTGATCAGGTGCGTGAATTGTAATTGACATGATACAGTCTCGAACTCTCGACTAATAAAGTATATAAATCAATTTTGAGTTTTAACAATTAACTTAATTCTTAGTTGAATTGATCCATTAACATGGTATTAGAGTTAGCTTGACAAAAGGGCAAAGTGCAAACCTTATACACCTCTCCTTACAAGTGGAATTTATTTCGCACTCAGTATGAGAGTTACAAGCGACATCCACATTTCAAACCCAACGGACTCCCATGTGACGGGACAGCGTATAAATCAATCTAGGATTCAACCATTAGTTTAAACTTTTAGTTGGGTTGATTTACTAACATCGACATGTGTGAAAAGTGCTAGTATTACACTTAAAGAAATCGAAGGGAGTAACAATTAACTATCGAGGGACGGAATCCGAAAATGGTGGTGTTATTACAAATAATGTCACCCAAGACTGGCTGTACTACAAATTAATTTACTAAACACTATCAAATAAACTTGGTCCTATGACCTATGAATTAATTGAAAAGATGATTACAAAAATTTCAAAGTCGTGCATCACGTGGACCTTTGCAGAGATCAGATGTGTAGTACTGTACAATGTGCATTACAATATTGAGTTGATTAAACTGACTTTTTTGAATTACAGCTCATTTTTCACCATTTCAACTCTTTCATCTAGTCAATGGATGCATGAAGCTTCTCGTTTATATGATTCTATTTTATTCGTACACATTACTAGATCATGGATTATTATTTTATTTCCTAACATTATTATTAAACTATTTAATTTATAGCACATAGAATAGAGTGCATTGGATGCTTATTAGTCGGATGCATGGTTGTATAATGTACTTATTAATACATGGTTAATGCTCCTTTATTTTAATATTATGGATTGATTTCTTTATTCCCCATTGTTTGAGTTTTTAATATATTTTACAGCAATAATATGACTTTGTTTTATTAAATTAATTACATATTCCCCAAATTTGGCTTATTCTTTTGAGTTTAAGGGGGGCCATCAATGAATCTGGTGCTTTTTTAGCATATATACATATAGTTTTTAGCTTCTAATTACAGGAGTTAAATAAGCTGAATTAATGTGTATGAAATTTATTCAAGGAGAAATAAAATATCCTGTTTTGTGATTTTCTTTGCAAGTAACAATGAGAAAATCTAATTTGCAATGGTCTTTCTCAACTTCCCAATTTCTTTCCTTTAAGTCTGCTCAAGATCAAGATGGAGCTCATAAGCAATACCCACCAGCCTTTTCACAGGTTTGTCCCTTAACACCGGTCGTGGCATGAGTCTCTTTAGAGGCATTGGGGTAGCGTTGATGTTGATATACATCGTATGTAACAGAAAAAATATGTCATTTCAGATAGTTATCTGATGCTGTAAGATGTGTTTTTGCAGAGAAAGTTGGGATTGGATATTCAAGGGGGAAGTCAATATCCTATTACAGGTCATCATCATTGGCAGCCTAAAGATGTACTTTCATTAAATCAGTCCTCTGAAGTCAAAATCCATCCTGTTACTGGTCAATCAAATCAAATCGTTCCCGCCACAATAGGTTCTGGTACCGTGACAAATATTTCTGTTACGCCTCCAAATGGTCCTGTCGTTGGCTCTACTGATCTGAAGTAAGTTATGGAAGTCTGTTTTGCACTACTGCATCTTATTACAGTTTTTTTTTCATAGGAAATAAGTGTCTAATAATGTGTTCTGCAGGAGTTCTTCGAGTATTGCTATCGGTTCCTGCCAGTTGACCCTCTTCTATAATGGATCAGTTTGTGTCTACGATAACGTTTCTCCTGAGAAGGTATTGTTTATTCTGTTTACTCAGTCTCATCAGTTTCTTCTTCCTGGTATCTCTGACATTGTGTGTCTTTAATTAGGCTCAAGCCATAATGTTATTAGCCGGGAATGGTGAATCAAAAAATCCAACTTCCTCGCCTGCTGCAATCCCGTCTCTACCTAAAGTGCAGCCATCAGTACCAATGCAAAGACTGCTAGCAAACGACGCTGCTATTCCAAATCAGTCCGCAGGACTATTAAGCACTATTTCTTTGCCCCCTCCTATCAGTTCTCTTCCTGCAGTAGCAACCAGTAGTGCAGTTGAAGCGACTCCAATTAAACCGGTTATGGCCCCTCCTGCTCACGTTAAGTGCCCTGAACCTCCTAAATCAGGTGCCTCTGTCGGAGCTGGTGTAAAATCAGTTTTATCAGGTATATTCCCAATCAAAGATTTAAACTCCTGTGGATTATTTCTGTATCACATTGTTGTGGCTTATTCTTAATTCTTAATGTATTTAAGTATTTCTTCTGTCAGAGCTTTGATTTTTACAACCGTTCATTTCATCTTGATATAAAGATTAAGTCTAACTAATTACATAAATCGTGAATTACTGCAGCTGTGCCTCAGGCTCGGAAAGCATCTCTTACAAGATTCTTGGAGAAACGAAAAGAGAGGTGAGCAGTTCTTTTAATTTGCGACTTTTTTTTTTTTTTCCTGAAGTTGATGCTCTAATCTGTGTAAGTTCTGACAAATTCTGTGGATTAGGTGCAAAATGTGGTTATAATCCCTAGTCCGGTTTGTTTCTTTACCAAGTAGTAAATACTCTCTTTAAGATCTAAATGTATAGGATTATGGCCTAAAACTTTCAGAAACTTATGTGCTTTCCACACTTGTCTTCTTGACTTGTCTTGGAAAGAGTACTCTAACCTGTAGGATTCCGTATTATCGTATAGCATAGCGTATTAAGCCGTTGTTGGTGTGGAGTTGTGGACTCCTATTGAGGTTATAGCATAAGGCTGGATAACGCTCCTTGAAGTTGTAACTATAATCCGAACTTGTAAAAGTCAGTTTATGTGGAACCTCTTTAAGTTTTGTGACTTGGTCACATTGGTCTACAGTCCATGGCTGCATCATTTCTTACTAGCAGTCTTGCCATACTCTATTCTTAAAAATCATAGGTTCGCGACTTTAAGTATCCTGATTACCATAGAATGATAGCCCTTGGAGTCAACAAACTATTGTTCTAATACTTGATACCTTTGTTATGTGGACTAATGGACAACTCATTTCGCTTCAAGTGTAATGTCAGATCTTTGCATTTTGGCTTGGGTATGGATACTTGACAGTTCACTTCAAAGGATATCAGTTCCATTTATTTCAACGATCAACATATCAATTTAGAAACATTTGATATCAGTTTAAAAACATTTGATATCAGTTTAGAAACATTTGATATCAGTTCACTTCAAAGGATATCAGTTTTTGATGCACTGTAATACTTGTTTACAATCGACATATTTGTTTTACAGGGTAACTGCTGCATCTCCTTATGTTGTCAACAAAACTGCTTTCGGATGCAGCACTAAAGAGCCTGGTGGATCAAATTTAGCAACGAAATCTGCCTCGTCTAGTCCCCTACCAGCTAGTGTTGTAGAGATTCTCTGATGAACTCTAGCAGTAGGATTGTTTTGGATATATATTCTACCTGTTATCAGGATGATCATATTCAATGAATTCAGATATGATCTATATTTATTCTTTTGACTTGGAGTTTGTTGCAATTTTAATATGCTTGCTTTCTGTTCATTCAGTACTTTAAATAACAAGATAAAAATGGTGTCATTAAGCTAATGCAAGAGGTTACTCCTTACTCGTCACTACAGGTAACGTTCGTTGCAAATAACCCCCGTGACAAGTGATTAACTTCAAGAGGAAAAAATACAAATTGACTAGGAAATGGTTGCTTCAAATTGTAATCCATCGATTTAAAGCTCACAGATGCAAAAATCAATATAAATATTAGAGGTTGGGTTTTGTATACAAGCTTAGTTTCGGATGCACGCGATGTATACATTAAAGTAAAAAACCATATATTTCAACTTTCATATATTCATTCATTGTAATAGGTTAAACTTTTTATTCTTATCAAATTTTCTTGATTTCACCATCTAATTTGGCAATTATTTGTCTCAAGTTTCCTTAAATATTTGTTTATTTTTGTAGAAAAAATTTAAACGTATTTATTTTGGTTTTCGTAAGTGATTTTGTTTTCATACTCTTATTAAATGAAAAAAATCGATTTGCATGAGAATGAGGTATTTGATTGTAAGATATGGAGGAGGGAGATTTTTTGGGTGAATATATGAAATAATCACTTTTGGTTTATGTAGCCGACCCCACTTATGGGATTAAGACTTTTACAGGTTGATTGACTCTAATTGAATTGGCGATTTTGCACATAAAGTGTACCAAAATATTAAAATTTCGTTTTGTGATATTTTTGGAATTAAAATTTCCTTCCCATTTCTCATATGTATATGTTACTCCCTCCGTATTTTTTTGGACAACGTGGAAAAAGGAGACTAGCTCCCAACCGACACGACCCCAATTAACACAAGGAGAGTGTTTAACTCTCTTAAAACACAAGACCTAAAATGGGGATTAGGGATACAATATTCATGGTCTACATGGCAATACAAATAAGGAGGTTGACAACTATCATCACTGACACTAGTCTAATTGATGCTCCAAGCCTATTCATTTGCGCTTCTTAGACCTGCAAAAATGAAACTTGGAGTACCCTTTACCTTTCTTGTTCTTTACTCTAGACATGTGCTCCTTCCATTCTTCCTAGTTGGGGTAGAGAACCCAAAGATAGAGGGAGAAGGGAAATATTGGACCTGGTCGGGTTCGTTCAAAAGTCATGGGGTCATCTTCATTATAACCTCTATATTTTATTACTTGCTCCATTGATCTGATCTTGTTGCCCTATTTATTTGACCTACTTTGACTAATGTGTGTGATTATATTTATAGATAAGAAAAAAAATATAGCCTTGTGAATACTTGTTAGATTCGTTTTAATGAATAAATAATTATTTTTCAGTTGTTATAATTAATACTTATTAATAATTGAAGATATTACCGATCAAAGATTTGCATCCGAAAGATTATGGATGCATGAAAATTATTTTTTAAAACTTGCACGAGCATGATATAATACCCTATTTTTGAGACGTATTTTCTAATTAATTAATTATGTATTAATTTCTAAAAAGGGTACTTTGATAGTTTATATTGTTATTTGAATTTTGGCACCAAAAATATTTTTAAACTCAATAATTACTTTGGACTTTGGATAAGATTATGTACACCCAAAGATTAAAAATTTTGACTTTTCCTTGACTTTAACCCAATTGACCGAGTTGAATTGACTTTAGAGTCAGTAAAAGGCTTTGTGTTAGTCGACGATAACAAGTAAAGATGGGCTGGAGTTAGTCAAAGGCCCAATATGAAGAAAGGACAGGTTTGGAGGCAAAGTAGACAATTCAATTTTTCAAAGAGAGTTGGGGCCAAGAAGAATAACTACAAAACAGTTAGGGAGTCAACTACAATCGCTCTAATTTGTCTATAAATAGAGGCAAGGGGACCGTATGAAGGACATCAACAAATCAATCAACAACAAGCATTTCATTTTCTTTAAGCTTTCTTCTTAGCTTTCTTAGTTTTCCTTTGCCTCATTAGCCAAGTAATAGCGTAGTTTTCCATATCATGTATTGAAGATCGATTGTCTTTTTCAATTGTATGAACATGGAGGTAACTTCTCCTTCAACTTGTACAATTGTACTGTAGACCTGACTTTATCCTTTAATTAATGGAAAGCGTTTGTATCTTTTTTCATATGTTTATCTACTCGTTTCTTTAAGAAATCTAACTTGTTTAATTTCTTTGGGAAGCTTCCTTATTGTTTGTTTTTGTTACGTTAGCAAGATTATGAATCTTTTGAAACTAGTAACTTGAGGGGAAGCCCCCCTAATACTCTAGAACAAGATAGGGTATTTGACTTATTGGCAAAGAACAATATTTTTCTCAACAAGTTTTTTGGCGACCACAGTGGGAGAACACTAAACTAAATCCATTTAACTCGTTTAATTGATTTGAAAGTTTCCCCATGGCTCCTAAGCGTTTAGCACTTAAAGGAAATACTCCGGAAGATGTTAATTCATCTGAACTCAATCCCGAGACCATTTTAAAGGATCAACAAGATCTAGAAAATCAACTGCCAGCTGAATACATAACACAATCTTCTGAACAACTCGAGCCTCAAACACAAAGGCAAGACGAGTTGATTCTAGATAGAGGAAATAGTCATTCCCCTACCAAAAACTTACTCGATACAATATACACAAAATATGTAGATATTGTAAAGAATCTGATAGAGGATCTAAAAGAAAACATATAGAGTAGTTTGATAACTACTATCGTGTCATGGTAGAAGAAACCGCCAGAAAGGTAACTGTCGAGTTAAGAAATTTTTTCTCCAATTCTCAGCAAGCGTTACCAGACAAGTGGATAGGATAATTCTAGATATTAATGAAACTCTGAACACTACTAACGTGGCTTTATCAAAAAGTATAGCAACCGAAGTAGTTACAAGGCTTGAACCTTTAGTGGAAAAACATAACCAACTCAATGAGAAGTTGATGAATGTTCTAACCGCTTTAGGCAACGGGATTACTGAAGTAAATCAAAGGGAGAATATCCCTCTAGGATACCCTAGAGTAGAAAAAATGACTAGATCTCATGCAAATCCGCCCCCTCTCTCAGTGCCAAGAAGTATCCATCCTATTGGTACTAATGAGGGGTATCGGGGTCAAGGGAGAGTTAATGGTTCAGGACCAGGTTATAAGTTAGGCTATAACCATAATGTCTCGGGTCCATCTTCCTCGTCTTTGCCCCCACCTGTTATTGCATACCCATTAACCTCTTCAATGGGGACAATACCTCTTATAGAAGCAGAGATTAGGGTCAGTTATTCCAACTAGGGTATAGGAAACCTCCCAGATACAACATGCCACACATAAGCTGCTGTATCTACGCAAAGGGTGCCATCTCATCCTATTGGTATGAATGGTCAACAATCTTCAACATAACCTGGAAATTATAATCAACATCCATGTAGATATCCAAACTCTAGTCACCTTACACAAGGTTATTCATGGAATCAAGGTCAGGCTAGTGGTCCATATGGTGAAAGGTATCTAGCGATGTCTCAACCAAATCCCAATATTTTGGGAGGAACAAACGCTGGATAACGGGGTTTCCATAATCCTTAAGGGAATCAACAAAATCCCTTTCACATGCAAGATACATCATTCCAGTCTAATGGTCCAATGCATGGTCAACCTCCACAAATGGGATAGGAACTTCTGCTCAGACAAGTGGAGGAGATGATTCAGAGGGCCATGGGTCAAAATGGTGGGTATGATAGGAGAGGAACTTGCAGTCCATATCCTGAGTGGAATGATAGGATATATCCATTCCCAAGAGAGTTCAAAGTTCCCGAATTCTCCCCTCTCTTCTTTGGCGACAATACCATGCTGTTGAGGAACACTTAGTTAGATTTAACAGTCAGTGTAAAGAGGTAGCAGATGATGAATTCCTTAAGCTTAGAATGTTTTCTAGTTCTCTTACTAGTAATGCATTCTCTTGGTTCACTCACTTACCACCTAATTCAATCCAAACTTGGTAAGACATGAAAACACAATTCTTTCGCCATTTTACTAGGGTTGAAGCAGGGGTTACCATAGGTGACTTAGCTAAAATTGTGCAAGGAAAGGGAGAACCAGTAGGCGATTACATTCTTAGGGTCCAAAATGCTAAAATTAGATGTCACTTAAGTATACCTGAATTAGAGTTTGTGTCTATTATCCAAAAGGGCTTATCCTTTCCTTTTAGGAAAAAAGTTTGAAGGGCAATTCTTTCCTGACTTTGTTACATTGTATAGCGCTGTGATGGCTTATGAAAGATGTTTGGAAGAAGAGTCTAGGTCTAAGCCGCATAAGTATTATGATAGCATGGCAGAAGAATATGACCAGGCAGAGGATTTGTATGAGGCAACAATAGCTGAATATGTGCAAAGTCCTTCATTTAAGTGTTCACCCTTAACTAACAAGAAGTTTTCTTGTAAAAATACTTAAAATCTGATCAGAAAAGAGAGTATATCTTTGATATTAGGAGGTGTGATAAGAATTTTGGCTGGTTATTGAGTCATAAGAAGATTAAGCTAGTAGGGAGACGCAAATCCTGAAAAGATTAAAGGAAAGAACTACTGTAAATGTCATGATGCTTTTACTCATAAGACTAGTGATTGCATAATATTTAGAAATAAGAATCAAGATGAAATAGATAAAAAAAACATATAAACTTCCCTAATGAGAAAGTTAGCTCTTGTGAATTAGAGTCATAGTCTCCATTTGTATCTGAAGTTATGAAGTGAATTGTATCATAGTGAGTGCTAACATGGATATTGTGCAGGATAATATGCGTGGACTGAAAGAAGTTACTATTGCAGTCAGATTTTATATATGAAAGGCTAGTTAAGGAAGGATTAATTTTATCACCACAATGCCAGGATGATGACTACGAAGATACGATGTTGTTTAGATGGAAATTAAGCTTTGTCCATGCCACCAATGAGTGTTTGGCCTTCAAAGGGTTTCTGAATAAGAAGATCAGAACAAACGTAGTAAGGATCTTAGAGCAGGAATATCAAGCGATGAACCTTGCTAAATATAACTCCAAGGGAAAGAAAGATAAGGTCAAGATTTCAGAAACTAACCAGAGGATTCAAAGATCACTTGAAAAGATGGGCAATCAGAAATAGAAGGCACAGTCTTACAAAGACGCAATTCAAAAGTTCCCATTGCAAGCCAAAGTAGTTGAGGGACTCAAGAATTTACGGCACGATCTTTGTCTTTCATGTGCAAGTCTGTTGCATTTTTGATTGGTTAGGACTGAAACTATTCCAAATGACCCAAATTGGATACCTAGACATCAAAGGTTCCCTCAAAGGGGAAGACCAAATCTGAAACATCTTACCTCTAT